CGTTAAACCAGGGTTGTTGTACAGCCAGAATCCTATAACTGACAAGAATGGGACAAAATTCGTCTCCTAAAACTCCAACAATAGTCCCTTCATATCCTTGATGTTTACAGACTGATGTTAAAAGAAGAGATGATTCACAGTGGGAACATGGCCCAATTTCACAATTGATAAGTTTGGTAATTTGATGGCATTTTTATATTAAAAAAACAGAACAAAGTGAATATATCAAATCTTTAAACTAAGAAAGTTATACTGTTTTTTATAAAAATGCCATCAAATTACCGAACTTATCAAATGTGAGACACCAATATTTTTCTCAATTGGAACAAAGTGTTGTACTAATTAAAAAAATATATGGGTTTTGTTGCCTTTTGTTTAATTGTTGTTTATTGATAAAAACAATGATATATATATATATATATATCATTGTTTTTATCAATCTATATATATATATATGTAGAGGCATCATGCATGATTCAGAAGATTGGCCACTGTGGTACAAGCATGATGCTATATTGGACGCGGCGTGCTGTTAATGTAAACTATTTATCATGGCTAGAATTCTGCATAGAATTTCATATAAATATTAGTTTTTCATTGGTTAACTTCTGCCTATTAGAAACATCACTCATTGCATATTTGTGTAGAACATGTCATGATATATGATTAAATGTACTGACACATTTCTATCAAATCCAAATGATGCTTTTCAATAGCAAACTGAGTTTCATTGATGTGTTGACCTACATTTAACATATGATTATCAGGGTTACCACATTCAGCTTCACCAGCTAACAGTACTGTCTGTTGAGTTATCCTTACCTATCTCCGACCAGGAAAAGTCAATAATATTCTGGCATGTGTGTGTGTGTGTGACAGATTGAAGTCATGCATGAAGAAAGCCAGGGAGGCTCCACCCATGTTACTGTGTCTAATGAGAATGAGGAGAGTCTCTCCAACAGACGCAGGTAAGCACAAAACTGACCTCAGTGGGTAACACACCCTTCTGTAACCCCCCTCTAAAAACCAGCAACCACTTCCAGTAGACAAACCCCTTGGTCATGCCAGCAGAGCCACTTGACTCCAGATCTGAAATGTGGAGATGTTCCTTCATTTTTAGCATTAAATGTGATAAAAAAAGTTCTTATCATACTTTGCAAATGAACACAGTCAGATTTTCTCTTTGATGACCAGACCTTGTGTGCTGAAGTTTGTCACTGAAGACAGATGTGACATTTCTTCTCAATAGGTTGTCTCAGACATACGTTTCACCTGCAGGTGCTGTGAGCGTGTGTGGATTTAAATTAACTTACTGTATACAGCCATACCCACATGCAGTGAAATGGATACCATCAGTGTATGTTGTCTGATATCAGTATAGACATTTAAATATATTGTCTAAATTGGACGGACGATATCTATAAACTTAAGATCATAACGTAATACTAATTTGTTCAATTTTTTTCAGCAAAGTTCATGTTGTTTTCACAGAGATAAGCAATAACATATTTTCAAAACTAAATCTTACATGTCATTGTGATTTAAACATCAACAGCACTAATACATTCTGGTTTTATATGTATGTTTGGACATACATGTCCCCTTGCGTCCATCATAGGATGCCCCTGGCGTTGAACACAAGCATTTGGAGTTTTTCACCTCAATTATTTTGATGTCACTGTGTCTTGTTGCCTTTAAGTTCAGTTTATTTATATATATATATTTAATCTTACATGAAAACAAATACATTTAATTCTACGTAAACACAAAAATCCAGCCCATTCTCACTTCCAACTCATCACATATTGATACTTTTCCAACTTTCCCTCTGCTTCTGGTTTTGACATGTCTGGTACGCCCCTAGGGTCAGTTATTGACAAGATGGGGTGGAATCCACTGTCATAATTTCAGAAAGTGTAGAAAATGCACAAAAACTAACCAACCCAAAGCTTAAAAGTACCTTTATTCGCTCTAGACATCATGTCCCTGACCCTAGTACCTATAATTAACCATCAACCCTGAACCCTAAAATTAATGATTTTTAGAAAGTGTAGGAAATTCATGTCAACTACATGTCCCAAACCTTAAAATTACCTCCAATATTCGCCCTGACCCCCCTACCTAAAAATTAACCATGAACCATGATGCCTAATATTAACCACCGACCCCAACTCAAAGACCCCTATATTTTGCTTGTGAGGGAGTGGAGAAAAGCTGAGGTTACTCTTACTGCAAGAAAGCTAGTTGCGTGATATTGGTGAAATTAGCCTACCAGGCAGTAACCTTGACTTGCTGGCTTGTTACGTTAATTAAGTCTATTCAGCATACCAAATATGTTCTGTGTGTTCTTGTGTTATTCCAGATGAAGTATTTGTTCTTAGACTTTGTGAAATAAAATTTTAAATAAATGCGACTTACTGTATATATGTTTTTCCTTTTCTTGACGCAATTTTGACTGATGCAACTTTTAGTCTGGATCAACTTATAGTCCAGAAAATAGGGTTGGTTTAAATTGTAAACAAAAATACACAATATCAAGCTTACTGTAAAAAGTCTGAGCAGCTTGGGTTCACAACAAGTGTAGGCAAACAGAACCATGCATTTGTCATTACTTTTACACAAAATGTTCTGGAACTTCGGCCTTTTCTTAAAATCAAATTTTAACATCAAGTTTGTGAACCCCTGCTCTATAGCAGGTTAAAAGGAGAAGAATCTCATCAAGACCTGATACGTCTTCATGTAAACAAAGCCTGGAGTACAGGTCAAACAGAGTGAAAGATGATAGTTCAGTTGACTCCAAACAACAGTTTGTTCAACAGAACACTGGTCTTTATTGCACAAGGGCACATAGACACAATTAGCTATTTTACACAAAGAGGCCCTGCTTGTTTTTATTTTTGGTTTTGAACAGGAAATGTTCATCAGTCGACCGAACAGTTATTTATGTAAAAGCAGCTGCACAGGAGTACGTGTTCTGGAAGTATGGTCGACACAGAATCATCACTCTCACTGCGGTGCAGTACACGTTTCCTAGAAATCCTCTGGAGTTTCCAGATGCCGTAGAGTGTATTGCTTCCCGCCACAGTGAGTGCACGTCTGCAGCATGACCATGTGATGTAATCATCCGGTCATAGATGCAGGAGTGGTATGGAGCTTTGCCCTCCCCTGAAAAGTACACATGCTCCTGGGGGGAGAGCCCCATGGCCTTGGCGCACATACCCATGAAGACATCGTCAATGTACAAGGAAGAGTTCAGCACCAGGGTGGCCTGGTAGATTTTTGAGGCCACATCCCCTGAAACCACATACCCAGCTCCAGAAGTGTAGTCTGGGTATGAGGGCCAGGGGTACAGATCATAGGGAACATAATATTTGCTGTTTTTACGACGAACAGGAGGGGCCCCTTTGTGTATGTGGCCAACCCAAAGATCGTTAGCCCCCGACTGGCTCCTCAAGAGATACTGCAAGTACTTCACCAAGTTAGGCATGTGAACAAAAATGTCATCATCCGCTGTCATGAGAAAACGTGCCTGAGGACAGTACTTTTGCTTCCAGTGAAATTGCATGATCAGCTTGACTGTAAGGTTGTGAAACGTGTCCAGAAAGTTCTGCTGGATCAGGTCTCTGTAGGCTTGGTCTTCTTGCCTCAGGGCATCCTGCACTTGGGACCTTTGGCTCACATCTGGATAAACTCCCATTGCGAACAGCAGCCTCACGTCCACCCCGAGCTCCGACCAGGCGAAGCTCTCATTGCCCCACGTGTTCCGGATGGCCTGACGCCGTTCGAAGTTCTCCGGTGAGGATTTCACAAACAGAAGCAAAAGGACATCGTCCTGGTCTCCAGGTCCCCCTATGCACTTCCCAGGATGGTTGATGATGTAAGGATAACTCCTTGCACCACCACCTACAGTGATGGGGCCATCCTTTCTGTTACGGCGGTTGGAGGAAATGATAAGGGACCTGTTGAGGAAATCATATCTGTTGACCAGGTAACGATAAGCGCAAGATCTGACGTGGCTGACCACGTGATGGTCCAGGTCCTCCCAGCAGACCATCAGCACACAGAGCACCAGGCCTGTGGTCAGCAGCTGCACACACTGACACTTACGGATCCGCCGGAAGTTTATGAACATTGCGATGAGTTCTTGTTCTTGTTGAACAGCAGCAGCGTGAATCCTATGGACTAGCCTCTTTCCTTTCAGGCTTGGCTTCTCATGAGACTTTGCTTTTTCCTGTCTCTCTCGAATCGTCAAGTATCGTCATGTCCAGATGGCCTTTTTCAAGATTTTCTGCAGTTTGTTTGGTTCTCTGCTGATTTCCTTCTGTTTAACAAAGTACAAACAAAGCTCCTGCATAATGGGCCAACAGAAGCAGCACTTAGAAAAGCTCAGCTTCTTATCTTCAGTAAGCAAGAGTCAACATCTTTCTGCTTTCTTTTCTTTCTTTTCTCCTCTCCAGTTTGGGGTTAGTTTCATCTGTCTCCTGAAACTTTGTCTTCCTTGTCCACTCAGGTTACTGAAAAACCTGTATGCCGAGGAGCTACATGACACCTGAAGGAAAAACAGAGAAAAAAGTTATACTTGAACACTCAAGACCAAATGGACTCATACTGAACTACTTTTGTATGTTCAGAAATTGTTAATTGCATAATTGTTTTTATCTTTTTTTTAGAAATAACATAAAATTAAAATTTTATTAGGCAACCTGGCAGTGTTGGAAGGAGTGCATTTCACCTGCCATGAGTTTGATGCAGAGATCATCTTAGGTTAAGAAATGACAGAGTTGCAGCAGTTTTTGTAACACTTTGAAAATAATATGTGCTTTTATGCAAAATCATGAGATTATCTTCACAGAGTATGTGCTACTACCACATCAAATTTTAGCTTAATATCAATAAAACAGAGTTATACAGTAGCCATACTTGCATTCAGGGGTGGAGCCAGAGGGGTAGCCAGGGTGGCAAGTGCCACCCTTGGCACCTGATTGGCGACCCCAGGTGCCATCCCCAAATGATTTATGATCACGTTTGGCAATAAAAGATGGTCAATTAGAGCTAAAATAAATAAATATCTGTCATTCAGCTGTATTATCTAGTGTAGAAGGAACCTATCAGTGTGTGAAGAAAAATATTTTCTAAACCACTAAATTAATACAAATCAATAATTTTTTTTTTACCAAATTTACACCTAATTTCAGCTCAATATTTATTAAAAAAATAGTTGAATTGTAGCCCTCTGCCGCCTCTTCTTTCCCTTTTTAATTGCTCTATAGAACAACACGCAACAACAGTATTTCTGGGGGTGGAGGTGTGTGTGTCAGGGTCGTGTGCCGGCCTGGCCTGGTGACTGCCTGCTGGGGCTCGGGGCCTCTGGACCTGTCGGGCTTTGGCCTGGAGGAGGTGCGCCTTGGGGGCCCGGACCTCTCTGCCCTCTCCTGGATATGCTCTGGTGCGGCGGGTGCCGGTGGGGCCCATGAGTTTGTCGCTGCTAGCCCCGGGGGCTGTGCGTGCGGTCGTTGGGGGGACTCTCCCAATTCTCCCCTATGGTCTGGTCTGGGGGGTGGGTGGGCAGATCTTCCTGTGCGGGTGCCCCTTGGGGCTCTGCGCTCGGGCTCCCTCTCGGGCCCTTGGGCTCTGGTCTTCCCTATGTCTGCCTCGTGTCTTGGGGGTTGGGTCTCGGTCCTCCACAGTCACTATTAAATATTCCATTGGAGAAATCTTGTATATACACGCATGTTCACAGCCGCTCACAAACAGGTGTTCTGATCCGGGGGGTTCTGACTGGTCACTGAGTGTGTATTTACAGTATGTCTGTGTGTATGTACTGACAATATTTATGAATGTAGGCATGTGTGTATGTATATCTTTATATATGTATGGGTATGTGTACATATWKATATATGCCCTCCATGTATTTATCCATTTATTTTTCAGGTGAGCGGACAGATGTTGGGTGTGTGGTCCTGTGTTTTGTTGGTGTAAATTTAATATATTTCTAATCTCTATTTCAATCTTTCTATCTTTCTAATTACTTCTCTCTCTGTTTTTCTCTCTGTCTCTATTTTCTCTTCACTTAAAAAAGTCGCTGATGATGAAGAAATAAATAAACTAATATTTAGTTTCGTTTTCTACTGAAGTGACAAAAAATAATTGTAGCTTTGGTGGACACTTATGATTTTGTATTTACATTCAGATTTTGTTAAACTGATTTTTGGCTACTAAATGGACTGTTTTTGTATAGTGCCTTTCTTTCCAAAGAGGATACTCAAAGCTCTTCAAACTACAATCTGTGACCTCATTTACCCATTCACATAGCACTCTATTAGGTCTCTACAAAGCTAACATGTACAATCATCTATGGAGACTAATCAGTGCCAATCACATTCATACACTGATGGGACACACATCAGAGGCATTAGGGGTGAAGCATTTTGCCAAAGGCACAACAACTGAGATGACTGGAACTTGGGATCGAACCAGCAACCTAGCGGTTCCAGGACAACTCCCCTAACCACTCTTCCACAACCGCCCTATACAGGTATCCAGCTGTGTATTTAATGGCTGAATTATAGCCCTTTGTAAAATGAGCATTAGCGGTTTGCTTAAATTTGGACTAGCAATCATTCTAGGCTACATCACAACAAATTTCAGCTCAGTTAGTCCTAAGAAGGCTGAATTATAGCTGTTTAAATTTAGCTGTGGTGGCCATCTTACATTTTCAAATCCAGGGTAATTTTCTTTATTTTTATATGCCCCCCCCCACCCCCACCCCCCAGATAACATCTTGGCCACCCCCGTGCCACTCCTTGTAAAAAAAAAAAAAGTCTAGCTGCGCCCCTGCCTGTGTTTCAGCTGCGTCAGTCACCTTAAATCATCTTGACTCCAAAACTTATCATTGTTCAATGGTTCAAGAGATATTTTGCTAACAAACAAACTCACACAACTTTAATAATGGCAACACATTATTGTCCACCTTTGCATTTTGGTGGAGGGCCAAAATTATTGGTGCTGCTGCCTGAAAGGTCTGGTACCTGGAAGTTGCAGTAGATCTTTGGGACCCTGTGAACTACGGGGTGGGGTCTGCATGCTTTGGACTTATGTCCCATACATGCCATCAGGTCTCAACTGACTTATCGGAGGAATTTGTAGACTGTTGAAGCCCTCACATTTTGTTGTGTTTGTTGAGTTAATCCAGCAGGTGGGTCGGACAGTGTTGCCACCATCAGGAGGGGCGGAAACATCAAGATTTATCATAACGAGCTGAAAGTTAAAGCCAGAAAGCACACATGGTTGTAACTTCCAGTGACTGACGCCAAGACACTATAGCTTCTTTTTGCTTTAACTCTTGGCTGGTTGCAATAGTTTTTAGGCCCCGCCTCTCCATGTAAAGGCCCCGTCACACTATAATGTTTTAGACAACTTATGCTGACTTTTGAAAATTGTATGGCTATTTTACTCATACCAGCTCTATATTAAATCGAATTGTTAGCACTGCAGTATGTGTAGGCACAAAAATGGCTAGACTTTTTTTTAAAATTCCATCTTCAGCTTAGACATGTTGGCATTTTGTTGTGAAGATGTGTGCAGGCAAACCCGGGGAAGTCAAAGATTCAAAGTATAACACAAAGGTTAAAGGACCAAAAAAGGCTGGTGATGCAGCTCAAACTTACAGAGATCTCAGGGAAACCACAGAGATACCACACAGTCTGAGGTGATGCAGCACAATGAATGGATAAACAATGAAGACAGGACACAGAATATAAAGGCAAACAAATTAAGAGACAATCAGAAACACCTGTGGAGACACATGAGGAAACAGGTGAGCACGGGCGGGGTTAGAGGAATGGCAGCAGGAGAAAGATACACAGGGGAACACAGAAAACACTAGAAAACTAAGGAAAATAAATACAGATTATGGCAATTTTAAGTTGTTTACATTTTTTGGCCTTAAATAGGAAACTTTCTGGACTAAAGAAAATCCTTTTCAAACATTGATTTTTGTTGATTCGTTTCAATCTTACTTATCCTGTCAGTTCAAATGAGCGTCTTAAAAATATTTATGTTTAGTTTTAACATCTTATTTGTGGCTTAAAGAAAAATGTCACATTTACCTGTGATTGACAGCCTGTTAAACAGCTAGCAGGGTGTGTAGGCAGGACTTTTCAACAGGACAGTCCTAAATCCCCAAGTCCTGCTCCTAAAACACAACATGGCAGCTCCCAAAAACAAATACTGTAGTTTCAGTTCTGAACAATGTAAGGTGGAGACTTGGTCTGATTTTTTTAATGTTTATGTGCAGGTCTGATTGGTCTGTGAAAAGGTTTAGGCCAGAATCTCACCAGGCTGGGTCTTAATGTCAGCATGTCCAACACAAAAACAATAAATTTAATTATTTTCTTTCTGGCTGCAGAAAGAATGCAACTTTTTTCAAAGAAATAAACAAATTTTTAAATAAAACAAGTCAGAGAATGAACCTGATGATTTACTACACTAACCTTTCATGGTCCAAAACCCAAAGAATACTGGGTTTCCTAATATTCACTTCTTACATGAATAAACTAAAAACATTTGAACCAATTCTCTTTTTCACTAGTTGATAACAGGTCTGGTTCTCTCAGTGCTGACATGTCTACAATATTGGGTCGAGCCACTAAATTAGTTTTTTGTCCCCTAAAAATATTTTTTCTTGTTAAGTGGGTTAGATTAATATGAATCTGTGCTGATCATGCACAGACAAAATGCCCAGAATTTAGTTCCTTTATGTTTGAGACAGTTGTGGCATCATTTTGAACTCATTTTTCTGAAGGAGTAAAAATACTTTTTCACCTACAAAACAAACTAGTTCAGGTTATTTTCCAAAACTAAACCAGTTTGATTTACCAGCACAATCTTTTTCCACCAGCAAACTGTGAAAATAGCAAATACAATACAACTTTCTGCAGTGGCAGACTCAATCTATGTTGTGAATAAATGTTTGTAACTAAATATTTATAATTAGTGATAAATTATTTTATTATAAGTTATTTATTAAAATTATCCTAATGACACACACAAAAAAAGCTTTTTAAATATTTATCCCCTGGGTGGAACAGTTATTCTCAAAAGTAAACAGAAAATAGACAGGAAGTAGCTCAGCTGTATGGGAACAAATATCAGTCTTATGTATTTTGTACTCGTAAATCAGGCTTTGTTCTTGTAGATTAAGATTTGTAACTTTTGGATATGTAAATAGGAATGTGTGTGTTTAAAATAGAGTTGTATCTGTAAAAAATAAATTTTTTATCTGTAAAAATAAGATTTGTATTTGCAAAAATTAAATTTGTAACTGTAAAAATAATATTTGTATCTGTAAAAAATATTTACACAAGTCACGTGACCCCTGCTGCGGGGGTCACGTGACTGAAATGATCCAATAGCAACACAACACAGTTATATATCTGCGTAGATGTGCAGGCACGACAGCCAAACCCATCTGTTCTCTGATTGGATGTTAAATCTATGATTGACAAGACATTGACCAATCAGCTAGAGGCAGAAAAACGGTCAGAATTCGTACTTGTAAAGTGAAACTCACATGCAAGTTTTGAACTTGAGCAGAGAGATTTACATGTAGTTTTTTGCTTTGTACCTGTAAACAAACCTTAACAAAAAAAAAGACAAACTTGTGTAAATATTTTTTACAGATACAAATCTTATTTTTACAGATCCAAATTTTATTTTTACAGATACAAGTCGATTTTACCCACACACATTCCTATTTACATATCCAAAAGTTACAAATCTTAATCTACAACTACAAAGTCTGATTTACGAGAACAAAATAAATAAGACTAATATTTGTTCCCATACCAGCTGGACTTAACGCGCTGCAGACAAACAGACCAACACCTGAACCTGAACACGATGCCCGAGAAGAGTTTGACACGTGGGTGTGTTCAGTTTGGTGTCATGTTATGACAGAAGGTGTGTTAAACTATTGTAAACCGTCAGTTTCAAACATCACCAGGGCTCTCAAGTTTTGACCTGAGCTTGGAGTGAGATTTCGAACCGCCGTCGATAACTAAATACGCAAACTGGAAGATGATGTTATCATTGTTGCAGCTTTTTATTAAAAAAGGCGCAGTGCAGACGGATGATTGACAGGAGTGATTGTAGCTCCTTCAGCATTTTCAGTCATTATTCAGTGTTCAAATTGTATTTTTACACAAAATGTGAAATTGTCTTGTTTTGTCACTATAGTTTGACTTAAAAATATGGGCACGTCACCCATTATATTACATACGTACTAACGTTATGAGACAAAAGAAAAAACTAATTTACAGTAAATCACAAAACCTGGTGTTTGCAGGTTGGCAGTAGTTGTTGTTTTTTTAAATCACCAAACTTTTTGTAATTTTTTTGTCATCATCTGCTGCATTGTACCTCTGGAGGACCCGTTCTGCTGACTCACTAAATGATGTGGATGATTCAGCAAAACCATTTCAGAAATGCAGAATATTTCTGTAATCTCACCTGTAGCAAATATTTATTCAGCCCATTCATTCAGTGTGCTCCGAAAAAACCCTAAAAGAAATGTTGATTTATAGTATCTACAGTTTTTTTTCTTCAAACTACAACACTTCAGGAAGCAGACAAACATTTTCTATAAAACAGTAGTTCCCAAACATTTTGACTTCTGACCCACAAAATACCCATGGCAAAAACTTGTGACCCCAAATATTACTGGTCTGAGTACACAAACTTCATTAATAACCCTAAAAAAACACAGGCTTTTTGACAATCTAAACAGCTTGTACACAAATATAAATAC